TTTTACCCACCTCGGAAGGATGGAAGGCTGAGTCAACCCTGAGCCGGTGAGATTTGAACTGCTGAACTGCTGATCTAGCAGTAGCCTGCAGTGCTCCATTTAACCACTGCGCCACCTTGGCTCTTAAGATTTAAGTCTCATAAGATTTTTACTGCTGAGTAGGTTAGAACTGGATGATTCCCAGTTTTCTTTTATAAGGCTACAGTGACCTAACACAAAAATACAGGTTTAATAAATCTGGGTTCTAAGCCAGGAAATAAAATTGATGATGTACTTTGGTTTGTAGGCAATGTATGAGCGCCTTTTCTGCTGGATTGTGATGCATATCAATGATGGGATTGCAGTGAAAGATTACAACAGCACTGTTCACGGCAAAAACACAGTGATTGGAGTTCTTGATATCTATGGCTTTGAGATCTTTGACAATAACAGGTGAAATATCTTGAGACAGTCAAGCATATATTGGTTCACATGAGGATTTAAGACAGTATTTACTGATTTTTCCTTTTATAGTTTTGAACAATTCTGCATTAACTACTGCAATGAGAAGTTGCAACAGCTCTTCATTCAACTTGTTTTGAAGCAAGAACAGGAAGAATATCAGCGAGAGGGGATTCCTTGGAAGCATGTGAGTAGATTTACACAGTCTGCTCAGAAACACTCAGTAGTTACCCCCACCTCCAAATTAAGATTTAAAATGCAGTATCATATGGGGAGGGAGATTCAATATGTTTATTTAAAACATCAAACCAAGAGAACACAACCACTAGAAAACCAGTTAATAAAGCCTGCAAAAGTTGTGAAAGAAAAGAAAATTGAAAGCAGATAAATTTTACCAGTTAAGAAGATAAAGAAAATGTGCATGGTTTTCAAGAAAAACTATTTCTATTATAACTGGATTTGAGGAAAGGGATAGAAATGTAGAACTTCAAGGAAGACTTTTTCAGCTATTATATAGACTAAGTGAGACCATAGAGAAATAATCTTTTAAATACTTTGATCCCAAGGCAAGGTTATAAAGATTATAATCAGCACTCTGAGATATGCCTGGAAGCAGACAGATAAGCAAGGTAGCTGCAATATCAATGATATAATAGACTATGATCTTTAAGAACACACTCTGCTCCTGCAGCCATGTATTTATGGATATATCTTCATGAATACAGAATAGCAATAGTACTTAGAATTCTTTACCACTTCACAGTGCTTTGCAGCCTTCTCAAAATGGTTTACAGAGCCAGTATATTGCCCCCAATAATCTGAGTCCTCATTTTACCAACCTCAGAAGGATGGAAGGCTGAGTCAACCTTGAGCCAATCAAAATTAAACTGCTGGTAGCTGGCTGTCAGCAGAAACAGCCTGCACCACAACATTTTAACCACGCCGCCACCACGGCTCAGAATATTTCTGTATTCATCACCCTGTCCACCAAATGAAATGTGATCAACTCCTTCCAGATCCCATCCCTATTGGATGGTCATCTAATGGGATCTTGAAAATGGGCATTTTTAATAACTGCCTATTTCCTTTGAAATTTTTCCTGGCAGAGGTGCAATCAGCTTTATCTCTCTTAGGCTTTAGGAAAATTGTGAAGATTTATCAGTTTAAAATCTTCCTTTAACTTTCATTGTATCTAGAATTGCATGTGTTTGGAAACATTACATATTGAAATAGTTAGCTATGTAGAATCTTGAGAATGAACAAAATACAAGCAAAATTAATATTTTGTGCCAAATTTAATTTCTAATGGGTTTTCAAGGAATGTCCCATGTAAAAGTTATTACAATCTAATAATAATAATAAAAAAAAAGAATAGGTCATCTATCACAGGTTGGCATACTCTGATAACAGTTATCATTAAATCATGATTGAGTGAGGAATATTCCTGTTTAATGTAGTTGCTCCTTCAAAGAGATTGCAAGTACATCTAGTTTTGTTTAAACAGCAACATCTGGTTGATCCTTATTCTCATGCTGGTTCAGGATACCGATATTTAAACACAAGATGGAAAAAATGTATCTGAATACTGATGATATCTTCCCCTAAATCTCTGAGATTTAGTTCAGTTCAAATGTTGTCCTTGTATGATGCATGGTTCAATACAGATGATATCAAGCCAAAATTCCCAGTTTTGGTTTTGGAGACTGACTTATCAGGAAATTTTGAATTACTATAAGATGGCGCTCCATACCCACCAGTCAGCTCAGATTGTCCAATGACACACTAAATAGAATCCAAAACCACAGAACCAGCAACAGCTTATTCATTCTGTCTAGTTCTCTATTCTCCAATCCCCAAAATAATCAAGATCTGAATCTAATCAAAATGGATATAGACAAACTTTGCAATGCCAAACAACGCTCTATGATCTTGTGCCAAAAATGGAGTTTGGAGACAAATTAATAAATATCAACTTCTTAGAATCAGAGCAGTAGGGGAAAATATTACTTTTTTAAGGCAGGACAAAAATATATTCACTGTCCATGTATTTAATGAAACAGAGATCAGCAATGCCCCTATAATCAGCAACAACTAGTGGAGTAATAGCCACACAGACTCTGTATATGTAGTAATTTTTCCCAAGATTCTGAGACTGCACTCTAACTTTAGTAGAATAGGGGACTTCTACTTTTAATATTATTGGTATAAAGTACAAAGAGGAGATAAAACTTGGAATACATGTTTATCATCTCAACCACACAGAATACCATATCAATACTTCTTTATTCTTCAGATACCTCTAGACTTAGAAAGTTTCAAAATATTGCTGAATAGTTTGGCTTAAATCTATTTGAAATATTGTATGATTTATTGTATTGTATAAATTTAGAATAAATTTTACTGAGTTTCAAAGTAGGAACTGCACTTGAAGGAAATTTAAAGTAACACCTCTTCATTTTTCACCTGTATTATTAATTTTAGTAATGCAGTATACTTTTCCTCACAGAAATGTCTTTAGTATTTGTTCTCAAATATTCTATAGATTGACTACTTCAACAACCAGATTATTGTTGATCTTGTGGAGCTGCAGCACAAGGGAATCATAGCCAATTTGGATGATGCGTGCATGAATGTTGGAAAAGTCACAGATGAAATGTTCCTGGAGGCTCTTAATAAGAAGTTGGGCAAGCATGCTCACTTTTCCAGCAGAAAGGTATTTTTGTCTAATCTGGCATTAACTATAATTCTGGCATTAGACTAATTTAACTTTTTTTTACTTAATTAGCATTGAAATTTTTTATCTTGTCCTTTCTTAATTGAAACAGACCAGTTTACACAAAATAGTCATTTAGTTTCATATTAGTCCCTGCTTCTAAATATGTGCCAAGGAATTTTGCAAAGGATATTTTTCAGGGTTTATGACTAATTGATTTTTTTCTTAAAGCATTTTATCCTCCCAGAAAGAGTCAAAGAACAGTGTACAGTTGAAATTGCAGTCTCTAAAAACACCCTACAAAAACAAAAAATAGAACAAAAGATCATAAAAAACAAATCCACAAAATATTTTCTTTATTATCAAGTTGACCAAATCATATTATCAAGTTCAGCAAGTGCCATTTCATCAGAGTGGAAGACTGCTTCTCTCTGATGGGCTCTGAGTGTAGCAATATGGAAAAAAGCTCGTAACTAGCCCAATGCTGCCTCATTCATCTTCCCTTTTTCATGGTGTGTCGTTAAGTATGTATTTAATCCTTTTGGGATTCTAAGAACTAGAACATACTTTTTAATCCACCCCAAGCCATAAACTTGTAAGTGTTATGGCTGAGTTGAAAATACATGAATTTTCAGTGCATCCCATTCCATCCATATGTGAGGCTCAAACTGAATTATAGCATTTGTTGGCTGATATTGTTATGATGACATTAGTTGGAGGAAGGAACCAATTGGCACATACAGAATGCATAATTAATATTGACATTTTGAGAAATTTTTAAAAAATATCAAGCCTATGTCTTGAAGTACTCCTCTGCTATAAATAATCTTTAAAGCTGTTTCCAAAGGGAGGGGGGGGGGAAATTAATATCCAGCAGAGGGAGCCATAGACTTTTCAATGTTAAAGAGAAAAACAGAAGCATGAAGCTGGCTAGACAGTGATGTCATTTATAACCAATAGGAGCCCAGTTTAAATTCATGTAATGTTTCCTAAGCAAGTAAGAGCCGAGAATATGGAGTATAGGTTTTTATTTCAAAAAGGTGAAATTCCTTTTGAAACCGTAGTCGAACCATATTTTTATTAGAAGCAAATAGAATGTAATAAAAGCAAATGTTTACAGCTGTTCAAAAGGCTACTCATGATGCAAAACATTGGAAAAGGGAAGTGTAAAATGCTAGCTTTGCTTAAAGTACAAAGTCTTCATTTGGTCATATCCATAAAATAGAATGTAATAATTGCTGGTTTAAACAGATACTATCGAATACTGGACAGATTTCAGGTTGCCCTTAGGGTTGTTAGAGCTGCCTCTAGGTTTGTTAAAAACTAAGAATAGTTAATCCGTTTTTGAAAGTACACCAATTAGCAGTTAATAGATTCTATATTCTAAGGGAAATGTAGAGATCAAACACTCTTTCATTATTAATACATTTAAAGTGGTGTCATTTTTACATTCAGAAATAGTAAAGTTCTTTGTAAGTTGGTATAGCTTAGAGAGTATGTACAGTTAGGGAATAAATAACACAGTCACAGTTTTACCCATTGTTTGCTTGTTTTATAACAGAAAACCACTGGCACAATTAATAATAATTATTATTATTAACAACAGCAACAACAACAACAACAATAATAGCTAGGCACGACCGAGTTGCTAAATGAATCCACTGGTCATTATGTAAAAAATACGACTTATCTGTACCCAAAAAATCAGAAAGTGAAGACTTCATTTTGGCTGTCCAAGAATAAGGCAGACCAATTCCATGAAAGCAAAAATTAAACATGTCAACAACAGCAACAAATGCCATTCATGCAACAAGAAAGATGTAACAGTGAATCACTTTATCAGTGGCTGCAGCAAAATCTCACAGGCTAATTATCTACAATAACATGATCAAGTTGCCAAAATCATACATTGGAAGCTTTTCCAAAAGTTTGAGTTTAAATGCAGCCAAAATAATTGGGAACACCAAATTGACAAAGTTCTTTAAAATGAGCAAATCAAGATCTTGTGAAACTTTTGGGTGCAAATAGACAGACATCTGGCCCCTAACATGCCTGATATCACTATTGTGAAAAAGAAAAGAGTCTGGTTCCTTGATATTACAATACCAGGTGATTTATGAATTGAAGAGAAACAGCTGGAAAAAGATAATGAAATATTATGCTTTTCAAATTGAACTTGAGTGACTATGGAGGAAGAAATAAACAATTGTATCAATAGTAATAGGACCCCTTGGAGCAATACCCAAAGGGTTGTCTAAATACATGGAAATTTTGAACTTATTAGACCTAAATATCCTAAAAGCAAAAAAAAATAATCCTTCTTGGAACTGCCTTATGCTCCGATACTATCTTAAAAGCGCTTATGTCTTTGTTCAGGACTTAAAATGTTAAGTTTTTACCAGTCCCAGACTGTGAATTAAATTGAAAATTAACAACAATGACAATAATAGTAATAATAATAATAATCAGTACTGTATTGGAAGATCTGCAAGAAATATAATTTGCCTGCAAGCAAGACCTAAAATAAAGAACCATAAAAATAAAGTCATAGGGCCTGAAGACACTAAATTGCTCTGGGACTTAAGAATTCAAACAGGCGGGCACCTAACACCCCAGACTTAACAATTGTTGATAAGAAAAATAGAAAAATCTGGATAGTGGATGTGGCAGTATCTGGAGACAGCAGAATAGAAGAAAAAGAACTAGAAAAGATCACCAAATAAAAAGATCTACAAATAGAAATAGAATGATTGGCAAAAGTAAGCAAAGGTAGTTCCAATAGTAATAGTGCCTTGGGTGCAATCTCAAAACTGGAGCACCATTTGAACACATTGGCATTGACAAATTCACCATCAGTCAATTGCAAAAGGCAGCTTTACTCGGAATAGCTTCCATCCTGCGATGATATCTGTAACACCATCAAACATTTACATCTGCCCAGTGGTGGGATTCAGCCGGTTGTCACCTATTCGGGAGAACCGGTTGGTAACTTTCCAGGCAGTTCAGAGAACCGGTTGTTGGGAGAAATCTCCTTTTGTTTTTCCCCACTTTACAGGGATAATCCTTTAAGGAAGGCAGGAAGGAAACATTCTGGTGTTGTTTCTAGCCTCATCTTTGTTGACCTGCTTACAGAAACTGTCTCTCCGGTTAACCCTGATTACATTGTAAGAGCTAAGGCAAAGCACCCATCGAAAGGAGAGATGTTGAGTTGGCCACACCCACCCAGTCACATGACCACTGAACCCCGCCTACCCAGCTGGCCATTAGGGCAGAGAACCGGTTGTTAAATTATTTGAATCCCACCACTGCATCTGCCTATCCCAGGTCCTTGGAAAGGACTTGTTAAATGCCAAATTCAATCTGAACATCTGGCTGACTATGCCATACCATTAAATATAGTCAATTAGAAAAGGTGGTTTTACTTGGAACAGTTTACATCCTGCAACAATATATTTTTAACATCATTAAAAAAAAATTATCTCCCTATCCCTGGTCCTTGAGAAGGATTTTGTGGGTGGATAAAAATGTCAAATCCAGTCTAAACACCTGGCTGATTGTGCGATGAACCATGATAATTAACTTTAATAGCACTTTTAAACTAATGAAACTATGATTAAATTCTTCATGATAAGATCTAAATGTAAAACAATTTTTAACACGTATTTGCTAAGATTGTTTCAAATTTAACACAATAGAACTACAACATTAAGCTTCTCACAGAACAAAATAGCCCAAGCAAATTAAGGAGTTTCATAGCAGTGGTAAGCTGTTTTGGTTCACTCCTATAAAACATGCATGAAACTAACACTATATATTTGATTAGTTTGGAGATCATCATCATAATTATTATCAAAATCATACTGGACTGATCTAGCAAACCTGAAATGTGAGCCTTTAATTTCCATTTTTCATTGATGCTTTATCTAAAACTGACAGACTGATTAAATAGATTCAAGCTATATATTACAAAATTAGATTACTTCAAATCATTGTAAAAATTAATCACAATTTTAAATAAGATAGTTGACTAAGTTTGGTGAAAGCAGACATGAAAGCATCTGATATTCTTTTTTGTCCCTGTGCTGGAGGAAGCGGGATGGAGGTACTGTTCATTTGTGCTAAAATAAAGAATGGTTTGCCATGCTATACAAAAATGATCAGCATACAACTCAACTGCTCTCATTGTTAAAATCAAACTAAATGAAGGCAATATTGTTCAAACTGGAGTACAGTTGAAGATGATTTAACAAGCACTATCACACAATTAAAATAAATGTGTTGATTGATTATTGAATTAAATAGCCAAATGCATAACATTATGCAAAAAATCATCTTCTGAATTAATACTTCTGTGTTAGAGAACTGTTTTCAATGAAAACTGCACGATTGTGGTTTGGTAGCACAACTCATTTAGAATTACAGATCAAGCTTGTCTCATTACTTTTCCAATAATTAGAATTCATGGTTTTAATAACTTCCATTTTTCATCCATCTGCATCTCAGTCTTTGAATTAAAGTGTGGCTTATATCTTTTTTTTTCATTTCTGTGGATATATAAATCCTGCTTCTTCCATGTATTTCATATTAAGTTTACTGTACAGATTTGTATTTTTAAATGCACATTTCTTACCTCTATCATTGCCAGGTCAATATTTCAAACATGAAATAGAATGAAGAGTTAGATAGGATCAATCAAACAGGTTGTATTTCAATACCTTACTAAAAGCAATAAGGAAAATATTGATAAAGCTTTATCCATCATCGCAGTTCTATATTAATTGATATAGTTCCTGATGTGTGCATATAAAATGTTTGATATTCTTTTGTATTTAGTTCTCCAAGTGTTTTTTTAAATAAAAAAGCCCTTTGTAAATGCCATGTTTTGTGGAAAAGGCCCTTAGTAAATATCATGTGCATTTGTTTCCCAAGTGTGCTATCGCTAAGTTGAATCAAATCTCTAAGAAAGATATTGTCTTGTCTTACAGACAGCTTGTGTAGCACCTGCGTTAAGGAGAGTCATTTAGATGTAGCAATAATTAGACTTCATTCAGATCTGTAACTGAAAACCTGCTGAAAGTTACCAGCAATTGCATTTCAATAATTACTTTTTAATCCATTTGTTTTTAAGCTTTGTGCTACGGATAAAAACCTGGAATTTGATAGAGACTTTCGGATTAAGCATTATGCTGGAGATGTTATGTAAGTTTATTTCTCATACTTCTTATCCTGATTCCTATTAAAACAGTTTAATGCATAATTGCACTTTGATTTTCCTTCTGTACTTCCTTTTGCTTTTTTGCAATGTAGGAAAACATCTGAAATTATTTCATTATGATATCCAAATGATTGATGTAGCAAATATATTGTACTACAAAAATCTGAACATCTTATTAAGAACATGTGCTCCATTTTCTGCCTTATTGTTCCACGCAGGATGGTATATTCTCCTCCTCTTCTCGTCCCTCTTTTCTCCAAAAACTTAAGATAAATTAAACCTGATTTCCTTTTCAACTCTGTGATATAGATTGGGCTGAGAATGGAAGTAACTGATCTAAAACTGTTAATCTCCAGGATTTAGGTCTCCTTAGCGGTAGTAATATATATCTTAATTACTATGGTATAATTCTGAAACAGTAACTTATGAGATTTGACAGGGTTGTGGAAAACTAGAGAATATGTGTTTGAAAGTCCAACCCGAATGCTTCCCAGTACTTCCAGTTTAAGAACTGGAAAAAGCTTCTGCTGAGACTTAGGACATAATTCATAGAGTTGATAATGCTAAGCAACACAAAAAGTACTTAATAGTACAGAAAATAGTTCTAGTAGTATAGCCTTTATACTATGGAAATATAAATATGTGTGTCCCTAACCCCCAATTTAAATGTATGCTATATATTTATGGTAAATAAGAGGCACGATGAAATATTGAAAAAAGAGAAGAACAGAAATACTATTTGCCATCCTCGAAAGCAGCATAAACAGTCATTTCAGCTAAAACAGCAGCTTTATGGGAAGTACAGTTTAAGGAATCCTTGATTGATTGATTGATTGATTGATTGATTGATTGATTGATTCGTTCATTCATTCATTTTGCTGCACAAGTTTTTCAATGATAACAAACATTTTTAACCTTCTCTAAACCTGATACCATTAACTGGGTAATTCTCCATCAAAATTCCTTCTATATTGCATAAATTTAGTTTTGCATTTTTAAAAAATGATTGGTAATAATGCATTGTCAGTTTAGTTGCAGTAAAGACTTTTAGAAGTCATGGGGATCAATTAGAAAACTGTGATGGTTCTAAAAAGACTGTTATAATGTGCTCCTTTTTGGGTGTTAGGTTGACAGCTTGGTTTTATATTTAGGTCTAATTCTATTGTATTTCCTGCATTAAGATGTGCAAAACATATTTGGAAAATGTTAAGGCAGAGGTATAATTTTGACACTTATTCCAATGATAAACTAAAGCCTTTTTGCATGTCATACATGATTAAGAGATATAAATATTTAAAATCAGTTTATGGGTAGTGAAGTCCTCAAGCCATTTAATTATTTCAGGGGGAAATTGGATTACCTGAGATTGCAAAATTCAGTTCAGCTCAGTTTATTGTATTTATATGCCGCCCTTTTCCCCCGAAGGGGACTCAGGGTGGCTCACAACTCGAACCGGGGAAGGGGGATACAGACAAAAAATTTAAAAAACAACAAGCATAACAATATATAATTTAAAACTCACAACAGTCATACCATTCGAGACGGGGGCAACAGCTCTTTAGCCCCAGGCCTGTCGGAACAGCCAGGTTTTGAGGGCTTTGCGGAAGGCCTGGAGGGTGGTGAGGGTTCGAATTTCCACGGGGAGTTCGTTCCAGAGGGTCGGAGCAGCCACAGAGAAGGCTCTCCTCCGGGTAGTCGCCAGTCGACACTGGCCAGCAGATGGAATTTGGAGGAGGCCTAATCTGTGGGATCTAATCGGTCTAGTGGAGGTAATTGGCAGCAGGCGGTCTCTCAAGTACCCAGGTCCAATATCATGAAGGGCTTTATAAGTGACAACTAGTGCCTTGAAGCGTATCCAGAGACCAATAGGCAGCCAGTGCAGCTCGCGGAGGATAGGTGTTACGTGGGTGAACCGAAGTACACCCATGATCGCTCGCGCGGCTGCATTCTGGACAAGCTGAAGTCTCCGAATACTCTTCAAGGGCTGTCCCATGTAGAGCACGTTGCAGTAGTCCAGTCTAGAGGTCACAAGGGCGCGAGTGACTGTTGTGAGGGCCTCCCGGTTCAGGTAGGGACACAACTGGTGCACCAGGCGAACCTGGGCAAATGCCCCCCTGGTCACAGCCGACAAGTGGTGTTCAAAAGTCAGCTGTGGGTCCAGGAGGACTCCCAAATTGCGAACCCTGTCTGAGGGGCGTACTGTTTGACCCCCCAGCCTGAGAGATGGAACACTTGGCCAATTAGTAGGAGGGAAACACACCAGCCAGTCTTATCTGGATTGAGTACAAGCTTGTTAAGCCCCATCCAGTCCCTAACAGCCTCGAGGCACTGACACATCACGTCAACCGCTTCACTGAGTTGGCACGGGGCGGACAGATACAGCTGCGTATCGTTCGCATACTGATGGTATTTTATCCTGTGCCGTCGAATGATCTCACCCAGCGGCTTCATGTAGATATTAAACAGGAGGGGGGACAGGACTGAACCCTGCGGCACCCCATAATTCAGGCACCTAGAGGTTGATCTCTGCCCTCCGACCAACACCGACTGCGACCTGTCTGAGAGGTAAGAGGAGAACCACCGTAGGACAGTGCCTCCCACCCCCACCTCCCGCAGTCGTCGCAGAAGGATACCATGGTCGATGGTATCGAAGGCCGCTGAGAGGTCAAGGAGCACTAGAACGGAGGCATAACCTCCATCCCTGGCTCTCCAGAGATCATCAATCAATGCGACCAAAGCGGTTTCCGTGCTGTAGCCAGGCCTAAATCCCGACTGGAAGGGATCTAGATAATCTGTTTCCTCCAAGGACCGCCGGAGCTGAAAGACTACCACTTTCTCAACAACCTTCCCCACAAAGGGGAGGTTGGAGACTGGACGATAGTGGCATTGTAAACAATTAAAAGTGCTTCTTGATCATTCACTTTGGTCGGGTTGCATTATAAGTGTTTAAAACATCTAAAGATGACACTGATGATGAAGAGAAGGAGGAATATTTACTGTCCTTTGACTTAAAGTATTGGAAAACTGTACAGTGTTTCTTGAAGGGAAAATATTTAAAAACTTTGTTTCTTACCATTATGTTTTGAATATTATCCATTTTCATTAGACTTTTTATATTTTTATTTTTTGTTGATTTCTATTTATGAGTTTTACCCCTTATTTTCTGAGTCCAGTTATTAATTTTAGCCAAGTAGTTACTTAGTAGTTCAGTGCAACTAATTACCACTTTTTTATATTTATCAGTTATTCGGTCACAGGATTCATTGATAAAAATAAGGACACTTTATTTCAAGACTTCAAGCGTTTGATGTATAACAGGTAGGAATAACTTTAACTATCCATTTGTATCTTTACCCAGAATAGGCCAAATATGATTGTATTGTTGCCTTTTTAAATTATTTCTTGTATTTTGTAGTTCCAACCCTGTGCTGAAAAAGATGTGGCCGGAAGGCAAGCTGAGTATCACAGAAGTGACCAAGCGGCCACTGACTGCTGCTACACTTTTTAAGAACTCAATGATTGCCTTAGTGGACAACTTGGCATCCAAGGTAAGAAGTTCATAATTCAGGAAAAGTGAGCTTTGACAATTCCGTGTTTATTTCATTACTGTTGCTACTTGCTGAGTCACTCTTGCCTTGATTGTATCAACAACAAAAATCAGTGTAAAATTTCAATAGGACATTTTGGGATCAGACTATTAAAGATTACTTCCAGCATTCATCTTCCTTCCAGTATTGAGAAAACTCTAAGATTACAGAGTGTGATCTGTTTATGAGAAGGGAGTAAGAGCTATTTTCTTCAAGTCCAGATCATGTAAGAACTCAAAACATGATAGAAACATTTAGAATAGATAATAATAATAATGCGGGCTTAGACTACAAGTATTTTCTGCAAAAGAAGACAAAGAGCAAACAGAAACAAATCTGTCAATTTGTTGTCAGGGTTCACATTTCTTGATGCAGCATGTTTAAAAATTTTCCATAGAATTTTTGCTTAGTGCCAAATGTAGAATGATCTAATTGGGGAAAAAAATCATCTGTAGCTACAAAACCATGGATGTCAAACTCAATCACGTCTCATGACATATTGCAATGTATCACGACTTTTTTTGCCTTTGCGGTGCTAGGGTGGGCGTGGTCTGTGAGTCATCCGGTTCATGGGTCGCCAGTTTGTCACCCCTAATATAAACAATTCAACTGCGCTGTTGTGAACTTGTAAATGCTGAGGAGTATAAAGATGTTCTTAACATCTGTCTAAATTCTAAAAATAGGTACTACTACAGCAAAAAACTATTTAAGAAGTGGCACAAATGTGGAATCTTACTATGATCTCAGTAGTTTCCATGTGGGTACCATATTGTTCTCAGTGTTTTATCCAAGAGTTGATATTTTGAAGATAGGAAATTAACTTTCCTATTATAGTGGCAATCTCTACTGAAGATCATTTGAAGCAGCCCTTTCCTGTTTCCATAGTAAGGTTGGCCAACTGAAGCAAACTCAAATATTATTTGCCAATGGGAACTTGTGCTAAGACTTTGATATTCCAGGTATGAGAAGGGGACACAAAACACACAAAAGGAATGACACTGAGCAAAGAACAAAAGCCTGAAATAAAAAGAGGGAGAATAACATTCCTAAAGGCTTTACTCAAGGCTTTAAATATAAAGCATTTTTTAATGTGGAACATGACATAGAATTTTTGATTTTAAAGATCAAAAATTCTGAAAAAGATTCTGAAAAATCTTCTGAAAAAGATTCCTTTTGAGTTTATTACTTCTGTTTTATGGTTTGGGATACCTTAAGAAATATGGTGGCTGCACTCAGTTAAATCTATTTTACCAGTTTATGTAATAATGAATACTTTGGTTAACTTCCATCCTTTTTTCAGAAAAGTGTATTCCTCACTTTACTCTATTTCAGTGACAGATTAGTTCTCTTTCATTGATCTCATTTTTAAAAAATATCCATATTTGCCTTATGAAGTATATTATAGCCCTGTTTACTATTATATGGGTATCTGGGAAAAGGAGATAAATAAGTTACAGTGTAGGCTACAGCTTGTCCACTTCCCCATGTCTATGTTTTTTTAATTAGTGTAATGTTTGATGATAAATATACAATATGTAAAATAAAAGAATGTATAAGATATTTTGACACCATGATTACTAAAAATTTGACAGCTTTACATTTTTGTCAAGAAAAGAGACTCTTATTCTAAAATAAGAACATAATAAATCATAGTAAATCATGAATAAATCAGACCATGGTCCATCTAACAATACTGCTTACACTAAGTGGCAGCAATTCTTCAAGTTTCCGACTGATTTATCTCAGTGCTGCTTGGGATTTCTTTTAATGATAGAAAAAAGAGGATTAGAAATCTTATTCTAATAAATAAATGATTACAGTGTATTTTAACACTATATTACACACATCTCTTTGTCCTGGAAAGTTAGCAGTGTTGAGTCTGAATTTTTAGAAAATGCCTTATATCCTGGAGTTGAAAAGGAGCAGGGTAAGGTTAGGGGTCCAGCATCTACAGGGCTATCTCCATCACAAATGGCTCTTAAGATGGAAATGAGGAACTTACAAAAAAAAAATACGGTCTCTATCAGAGATGTATCTTTTTGACATTTAGAAGACAGCTTCTTCTGTATTGTTCTATTCAACACAGTTGAATAAAATTGGCACTTACAGTTGCATACAGATTTAGAAAAATCTGTAAACATCTCTTTTAACAGTCAGCAAATATGTAAAAAGACATAATTGTATTGAACTTTTAATTATTAACTGTATTAATTTCATTATTTTAATTTATTTATTTTATATTTCTATATGCTTTTTATTTTTAAATTTGGGCAGCAACTTTGGGAATTAACCTGAACTGAAAGGCTTAACCTATTCATATACATAATTAAAAAACAACAACAGAACAGGCCTTCCTTATAAAGTAAAAGGACAAAAATATTTGAGGAAATTATTTCACAAATGAGTAGGAAGTAGCTTCTTTTTATTTGGCCTCAATTCATTATTAAATGACAGTTGGGAATTTTGCAAGTAGGAGAATTTCCCTACCATCTTTCAATCCTGTTTCCAGCAGAAATCTATGTTCCCAGTGTAGATCAGGGGTATCAAACTGGATTTCATTGAGAGCTGCATCAGGGTTGTGTTTGACCTCAGGGGGGCCATCGCCGGGCTGGGCTGGCTATGGCGCTCTGCCAGCAAAAATGGAGCTCAGGGGGTCATGCATGACCCCCAGGAACCGTATTTTTGGCCAGGACAGCCTCCAGCCATCTGCCAGCGAAAAGCAAGCTGGGAGGGTGGGGCGCACATGCCCATCTGAGCTCCATTTTCGCTGGCAGAGACACCGCAGACTGGTTCTTTGCTATTTCCAGGGCAGCCCTGCATGCCAGATCTAAGCACCCTGTGGCCCGGATCCAGCCTGAAGGCCTTGAGTTTGATACCCCTGGTATAGATACTTAACAGCCTTTTTTTTAAAGAGAGAGATAATACCTAGCAAGCCAACAGAACTAGCAAGCAGTAACTATAACTAGCAAGCAGTCTCTTTCATTAGGCAAGATGGTTAAAATCTAGAACAGTCACAGCAAAAGAAAATATATATATTGGTCAAATTTTTCCTTCCTCTCTCCTCTCTTCTGTTTTCTTACTGGCTGGCAACTGTTTTCTAGGAAGTTCTCTTAATAAAGATATTACCTTTGAGAATGTTGGAGTGGATTATCTCATGGCTAAGATTCCTGCTATTACATAGGGTACTTCTTTCTAAGAGGTGTATGGCAGGGAAAATTCTGCCAGCTGTAGTTTTTATAATTGCAGACTGGCAATCTTAAGATGACAGTGAATGTCTATGGAGATTCTCAGTATTCCAGCTCATGGTTGTCCCAAAGGTGCTAAGTCGTCTAAGTCTAAGTCTAAGTCTACTAAGTCTAAGTCTACTGCTATAAGTCTACTGCTATTGCTTTTTCAAGGGGCAACTGGACTTTCTGCTTTTTCTTTGAAGACGTTTCGCTTCTCATGAGAAGAGAAACGTTTTCAAAGAAAAAGCAGAAAGTCCAGTTGCCTCTTGAAAAAGCACCTTTGGGAATGACAGTGAAAGGTAAGATATTGTAATAGTTGATTAGGATATTAAATTTCATATTGCCTAAGCTAGAAACCAAATGTCGTTTTTTGCTGAATGCCTGTCTCAGAAAGTTCTTGTTTAATCTTTTTACTCTTAATGAAGAGGGCAGTATTGGTTGTTTTCTAGTTGGTATGGAAATGGATTATAGAAATGAATGAAGACATATAGAATAGAACTAAAATACTAGATCTGTTGTTTGCATTCTGGAAATTCATTTAATGCTGCTTGTTGTAACATTCATGATCTTATTTCAGGTGTTTCTATGAGTCTTGTTGTTCTAATGGAATTTTATAGCAGAAGAAGGTTAAGGGTCCTCCTTCTTTAACAATGGTTAAATAATAGGGATGTTAACTTGCACATTGTCACTTTCCCCTTACCATTTTATTTTATCTGTTAATTCAAATACTGTTGTTTCTGGTTGCTTTCTTTTAGGAGCCATACTATGTCCGCTGCATTAAACCCAATGAGAAGAAGTCACCACAGCTGTTTGATGAAGAACGATGCAAGCATCAAGTTGAATATCTTGGACTTCTGGAAAATGTAAGAGTACGGCGGGCAGGATATGCCTATCGCCAAACGTATGAAAAATTTCTTCACAGGTAACAATTTACAATAACTTTGCAAATTTCTTATATTTAACAATAAAAACATGTTTGTGGTTTGATATTACATTAGCATTCTTACACAAATCACAGTAATGTCTTCAAATAACTTTAAGAGAAATTATCAAGATTAGTGAGGCCAGTTAAAGAAAAAGCCAATTTATACCACTTTTTAATATTCTATATAAATGCATGTGTTTTTTATGGAACAGCAGAAGTTTCATGAGATATCTAAAGTATTTTACACAAACCTTTTATTAAAATGCATGACACGTTAAATCCAAATGGAACAGTTTTTATAAATCCTTTTTCTTGCTCAAGGCTCATTTCTCTTTATCAACTAAAGCAAGACCTCTCTTACTTATTTATAACTATTTGGCAAAAGCTAGAACATGCTAAAATTATTATTTGTAAACATGATTAAATTATTCAGCCAAATCCACTTGAATCTTAGCTTAATTTAATATTATTAATTACTTTTAGCTTTGCTAGATATTCAGTCTACTTGAAGGTATTACATATATTTGCAAATAAACTGAAAATTTTAGTTGCCAAACACACCGAAAAAATAAGATTTGTCTTATCTGCAGATGGGCTTATAATATGCAAACACATCAATTTAATTTGCATATCATTTATTCTATCACTTAGGCAATTGTAGCTTGTTCAGTAAACTACTGAATAACAACGCAAGCATTAGTGATATTTCAGTTATTGCAAATTAGCATTTTGTAATACATGTTTAAGATTTCCTAATTCTTTCTATGGGAAATCTACTTTGGAAGATAATATGGGTTATTGTGAATCTTTCTGCCATATTATTGACTATCACATTTAATATTGGCAAACAATGTTTTTTTTTTAAAAAAAACTTGTATCAATGCAGGTACAAAATAATTCCTGAATTTACTTGGCCAAATCACAAACTACCATCTGACAAGGAGGCTGTGAAAAAATTGATTGAGCACTGTGGGTTTCAAGATGATGTGGCATATGGAAAGACAAAGATTTTTATTCGCACACCACGAACTCTTTTTACGTTGGAAGAAATGCATGCCAAGATGCTTGAATGGGTGGTTCTCTTTCTACAAAAGGTGAGAAGCAAGATTGAAATTTCTTATAAAATAATCTACATAGATTCACAGAATGGAAAAATATAATTTTTAAAATAAGATGCCTTTAATCATGTGCTAGTCCTGGTGACTTACATGTACATATGCATATATTTTTCCTTGTAGTAATAAGGGAGTGATTTGCAGAATATTGTTGTTGTTTTCCCCTTCAGATCTAGCATATTAGCTTTAACTCTAAGGGGTTAAAATAGATGAAAAACCAAACTGGATTTGAAAGACCTGTCCAGTCTTGTTCTGTTCACATGTTAGCCATCCAGATGTCTGTAGGACTCTTACAAACTAAATAATAGTACTTTCCTTCTCATATTTCCCAAGAAATAATCCCAGAGAAGCAACACCGCTCACAAGAGGGGTTACCACTTAAATAATATCCATTATTGTCGCTTCCTCCATTAATTGGTGTCACTGATACTTAAAGCATTCAAGTGATAGTAATTGATACATCTTCCTGAAGACAATTATATGGTTAAGTATATGTTGCATAAAAAGTCTCTCTGTCTATTTAGGATCTTTGAATGGTCTCATTTCAAATATTATTGAAAAGAGAAAGAAAAACAATTCCATCCTTTTACTTCATATAAAGTGTAATAGCTTATTTCTGTGGCATGTTCTCTTTCATTTGGTCTCTTTTTTTCCATGCTAAAAACTCCCTAATGTTCCTACAACTCTTGGATAATTTTTCTTGCCAGTCACACACTTCTGCATCAGCTGCTGCTGTGAATCCCCCAACAGTAGTTTTAGCAAATGCTTATTATTGGCAAAGAGCTAACAGTTTTGTTAAAAATATTTTGTGGAGTCCTTAGTGCTCTCTGACCTTGGTTGTTTGCTTACAGAGGTTTTATTACCCAACTAGGCAACATCATTAGTGCTGTGAAAATTGTTTTATTATTGTTATCAAAATCCAATTTCTTCTTAAGAAAACTGGTCATTCAAAGCAAATAAGTTGAAATATAACAACCAAATTTGCTTTGCAGAAGTAAACAATTTATTATTCTCTATTGTCTCATTAATTATTTTCATAATCTAAGTAGTAAACTGATAGTTATATGAGAAAATGAGTAAGACATATTTGAACAAGATGGAAATCCATAGTAGGAATAGAAGTTACAATTCTTAATAACACAGGTTATAATTTGAAGCATCATATTGTTAACTGATGCTTCAAATTAGAGTCTGTGTGATTAAAAATTCCAGAAATGAGGGCTATTTTCATTAGATGACAACCAGAAATAATTCCTGATAAATATTCATTCTCTGTTTCTTAAACACATACATACAAACACAACTGTAATATGTTGTTCATTAAATAATGTCATTTAATTATTAAAATTAGCTTTAAGACTTTAGACTACTTTTGGCTTGTTTATTATATTCTTATTGGTACTTCTTTACCATGAAAAAAGAATCCACCATTACTGTTTAAAAGCTTTGATAGAAACTAGGCAAAAATACTTTAAGTGAAGATGATTTTTTTTCACTATCACACTTTTTTATTGTCTTTGAATGCACCTTGTCAATTATCTTTCCAAATTAAAATACTCTTTTCATATTTTTTTTTGCTGCAGCCTGAATCTTGTATCTTTTTCTTAATTTGCACAAAAATGCATACTTTTAACTCCCTTGATAGTAAAACTGTTAGTGTCAAAGATTCTCTTTTATATTTGCAATACTGGTAGGGAACATTGGCAAGCTTGATTTTTTTTAAAAAAAATATATTTACCTTTACATATCATATACCACTCAAGGCTATTTATGATACTTGTTCATAACTGAATTATAATTTTAGTACAGCATACTTTTCTATATCAGCTTTTGAGACAAATAACAATAACAATAGATAAAAATACTGCATACACTACAAATGATTATTAAAAGTAAACCTAATGAGAAACTAAAATAAATAAGTAAAATAAATAAGTCCTAACAAAAACAACAAAGCTTGTATTGAAAAGACAGTGAAGAAAGAAGCGTAATATTCTGTTGGTAAGGATATTGGGAAGCCTATATTTTTATTGAACTTGTATGATTTTAACAAGGAACCAGGTCAGATATTTGATTACAGTCCACAAACACTTTTCAAAGACAAACCCAAGTTAGACGTCACAAGGGCATGGTTTATGGGTCTAGGATAGGGTTGTCAAACACAAGGTCCGCAGGCCGCATCCGGCCCACAATTTGGGGCTGTCCTGGAAAGTGTAAGGGGTTGTTCCACATCACTTCGGCCCAGTCTATCCAATGTGAAGAGAAAACATTGAACCACCATGGCTTTGGCCCGATCTACCCAATGAGCCTGGTCTATTTAATGCAAAGAGGGAACATGCTAGCAGTTTGGGGAGTGGCATCAAGTTGTCCACCCCCACCCAGTCAGCCACGCCCAGTGAGTGGCATCAAGCTAGCCATGCCCACCCAGTTTGCTACACCCACCCAATCCCCCGACGTCAACCACAGCCCTGATGCAGCCCTCAATGAAATTGGGTTTGACACCCCTGGTCTAAGACAACTTATCATGGCCAATTTGCTGTGACCAACTCTCCATGATCAACTTGCCATGGTCCACTTGCCACTGCGGGACAATTTACTGAAGGACAATTCAAGACAGGTTTAGTTTCTTTTATTATTCAACAAAGCATTACAAAAGCTGGTAGTCATAGGAATGACTTTCTTTGAGAAAATAGATAAAATAACAGGGTCAACAAAAATAAAAGGAACTAAGTGAATTCTGTGGCAAATTGTCCCGCAGCAAGTTGGCCATAGTGATATCAAGCGCTGAGGAAATCAAGAGATTCAGGCAGTTCAGCTAAGTATAAAGATTTAGCAATAGCAATAGCAGTTAGACTTATATACTGCTTCATAGGGCTTTCAGCCCTCTCTAAGCGGTTTACAGAGTCCGCATATCGCCCCCCACAGTCTGGGTCCTCATTTCACCCACCTCGGAAGGATGGAAGGCTGAGTCAACCTTGAGCCGGTGAGATTAGAACCGCTGAACTGCAGATAACAGTCAGCTGAAATGGCCTGCAGTACTGCGCCCTAATCACTGCGCCACCTTGATTTATTGCAAGCTTAAACTCTCGACAAGAATCTGAGCTACTAACAGTCAAAGTGAATTGATGGTAGGTAGGACTCAAAGGAATTCAGACTTCCGGCTGATGTCACTGTGAGATCGGATGCTGGAAGCCACTCTCTGTGCTCCCGCACTGAGTTCTCCCTGTTGGAGGGCTCCAAAAGGAACTAAAGCTATGCTGTAGGGGTGGCAAAGAAAAGGGGGGGCCTGTAGATTGCAGCGAATCACAATTCTCCCATTTGAACCAGGGCTTTCTTCCCTCTCATTACGACAAGAAGAGGCAGCCATTATGGCTGCTGAGAAGCTGGGACAGCTGAGGCAACAAAGAAAGTGCAGGAGTGGTATAGATGGACAATGATTGGAACTGGGTGAGATGATTCCTTTTTTACCTAATCTAACCCTAAAAGAAAAAAATCCACGAAAAGAGACTCTTAGAACTATCTGTTAAAGCAGCGAACAACTACTTAGAGAAAAATCCCAGACCCAAAAGAAAGGAACCAAGGAAGAAAAGTAAAAAACTTTTAAAACATAGAAAATTGGATTTTTCAACTGGGTAGGTGCTGTTTTGGAAAGGCATTTAAAATGCTGGAACTATCTATTTAAATAACTGACTTTGCTTCTTTAAATCAAATTAAAATTACATTAAATACCTGTCAGATTTGAGACAACACTGAAACTTAAGCTGAGGACGTCACCTTCTGATGAATGGAAACTATACCATACTCCTACAAGTCTGGGAAAATTTCTCATAAGAGAAATAAAGAACATTTATCTGGAGAACTGTGGTGATATCTTCTGTTCTATATTTATCTACTTTATTACTACTGGAGGTTCAACTGTGAGAAATTGAAGGAAGGAAGATGAAGTGACTCTTGAATGTTAAGATATATGACTAAACCTATAGAGTGGATGTAAGGAGATAATTGGAAAGCTTCCTGGACTACCTAAATGGAACTGATCGAATAATTCTGGGATATAAAGAACTATGATTATTGTACTCTCTGAGGAGCAACATTAGGCCTGAATATGTGGTTTTTGGAGTAAGAATAGGACTTACTAAAATAAGACAAGATGCTCCACCAGGGGAAATGAGTGGAATGTTAAAAGAAATGGTACTGATGTTGCAAAACGTTAATGAAACTGTGACAGAAAACCACAGGGAGATAAAGAGCCTAATGCATGACATAGTTGGGAAAATAGAAAATATTCTACAAGGGATAATGAATAAAGATCAAAATGTCCAGGAAAGGGAAGACACAACAGAAAATGGAGAAAAAGATAGAACAGACAAATCAGCAAATAAAGCAAGGAGAAGACAATAAAGATAATAATGACTTCAACTTCAACATCTTCATCAATGATTTGGATGAGGGAATAAATGGGAACTCATCAAATTTGCAGATGACACCAAGCTGGCAGGAATAGCCAACACTCCAGAAAACCGGCTTAAGATACAGACAAACTTGAACATTGAGCACTATCTAATAAAATGAAATTCAGTGGTGAAAAGAGTAAGGTTCTACATTTAGGCAACAAAAATGAAATGAATAGGTACAGTATGGGTTACCATACTGCTCTGCAACAGTGAGAGGAATCTTGGAGTCCTAGTGGACAACCATTTAAATATGAGCCAGCAGTGTGCAGCAGCTGCCAAAAAAGCTGTAACACAGTTCTAGGCTACATAAACAGAGGGATAGACTCAAGATCACGTGAAGTGTTAATACCATTTTATAATGCCTTGGTAAGGCCACACTTGAAATACTGCATTCAGTTTTGGTTATCACGATGTAGAAAAGATGTGGAGACTCTAGAAAGAGT